CTGAGACCCCTGCAGGGCCCACCATAGAGAGTATCAGATGGGCTCTGCAGGATCAGGTGGGTCCTGCATAAGCTCCTCTGTACAGAGACTGATGTGACTGTGGAGGGACATTACACCTTGTATACCACAGAACGGGCCTATAAAACATCCCAGGAGGGATTTAGCTGTAAACTGATATGTGTGACCCTGTTTCAGGGGGTTATGTGAAATATACAGGGGAGAGAGTGAGGAGAGATAGGGAGCAACACATCTGCCTGAAGCAGAACCCCTGTGCCCTTCAAGGCTTATCTGCACCCTGTGTTTCAGACCCCTCCTTGCTCCCCGAGTCCCAGTGTCCCTCTGTGTCCCGTGCTCCCTCCATGCACTCAAGTTGGGACACCAGGACCCCGTGGTTGCCCCGTCCACCTGATATTGTGACATCTTGTGTCCGGGTTTCAGCTGACCTGAGACACAGCACATACAGGACTCAAAACCCGGACTGTCTTTGTGAATCCCGGACAGGTAATGTAATAAAATATACAAAAACAAGCTATACAATCGGGGTACATTCTACCTCGTACTGCGACGCAGCGCATAAACACCACATAGCAATACAGCTCAATCACACAATAAATTACATTCGCACTGCGGCGAGATGCCTGACGTGTAGCGCAAGACAAAGGTCCTGAGCCCTCCACGTCATTCATGACACCGCATTACCCCGTACTAAGTCTGTGGTCCGTAGGATCCACATCAATTGCCTTCAACTAAATAAACTTCAATAAACCTTGCGGTGCGATGTCTGACGTGCGGAACACGAGGTGAATCCCGGACAGGTGTCTGCACCGCAGCAAAGACATCCCATCACTGGAGCACCAGGAAAAAGGGATCCCGAGCCTCCTCTGACTACGAGATACAGTTACTTTTCTGGGTTCTTATAGAGACTTTGTCACCATTTAAACAAAATTGCAGGAAAGATCGGTGACTGGGAAACCCGAACTGAGGGGTCTCAATAACGGTGACTGCTGAAGCCGAATTGCAAAAATTAATACATTTCTTATACAAGCCTTGGAGGATCTCCAGCCGAGTGATACACAAATCAGATACATTGTTATTCAGAGTTCGGGGACTGGGAGGGAGTTTTAGTTTAGTGTCACTTTCATGGAAGCTTTGCACTTGCTAGAAACATTGAGTAGTCAATCTCCTAGCCCAGCCCCCTCCTCCCTCACACATCATAATCCTCTCCTCTTCTGGGAGTGTCTACATACTGTCTTTGCTGGCCCAGCTCCTTCACCCCACCCCTCACCTCTGTCGTTGCTGAAGGTGAATACTACCGAGTTACACTTAAGTGACAACTTGGAGTGTGCTGGGGCTGCCGATGTCATATCCAAGATGGCGGCACCCAGCAGCAGTGTTGCTATAACCAAAACATATTAGCGTGACCCTCATAATCCTCTTTCTTGCTCCCTCAGGCTCTGCTGATCCAATATGCAGTACGGGATGGACTCAGTATGGACTCAGCTGTTACTACTTGTCTTCAGACTCAAAACCATGGAATGCCTCCAAGAAAGAGTGTGAGGACAGGAAGGCCCACCTGGTGGTCATTAATGACGAGGGGGAGATGGTGAGGATGATTACATAGTAACATAGTATTTGGGGTTGAATAAAGACATACCTCCATCATTTGAGTTTTAAGAAATGTTGTGACATCCAGACGGATATGTCCATATCGGTCCGCGCATCATCTCATTCGTAGGGATACTGGTATCCCCGGATATTACGGTCCCTCAAGAAATTGTCCAAAAGTTTCTTGAACAAATCTACACTCTTGGCTGAGATGACGGCCGATGGCAGCGAGTTCCAGACCTTAACCGCTCTTACTGTGAAGAACCCCCTTCGCCCATTGTGCTGGAATTTTTTCTCCACCAACTTTAGGTGGCGGCCTCTAGTCTTTGTTACGGAAAGGATCCGATAAGCAGGGATCTCCAGTGACATCATTTACCATATATGGACTTTCCCATTTGTAGTAAATGCTGAAGAGAGAGAGAGAGAGAGAGAGAGAGAGCTTAGCCCCGCCCACCACCTTAAATAAGGTTTTACAGCCTTACTGTGCATTTTGGCTAATTAGAGTAAATTACATTATTTACTTATTTAGCCTAAGGAATGCATTCATAAAAAAAAAGATAGAACCCCCATAGTTCTCCTTTAATTTCTAATTAGAGCAATCAGAGATTCAGCTTCATTGTTTGTAAATATTACTTTAGTGAAAAGAATGAAGAGTGCAGGAAATTGTTTTACAGAAAAGTAAAACAAAATAGTAAATATTACAAAAACAGACAAAAGGAACAGTAAAAATAAAAGCGAATTCAGCAAAGTTCGCCTGGTCTTTGGTTCTGTCCAATCTGCTATATTAGAGCCACTGGCCCTCATAAATGACTCTTTGTATTCCTTCGTAGTTTTGATGGTGAAATGAGGAACCAGAGATGCCGGGAAAGCCATTCTTTACATTTCCCTCAATGGGTGTTGCACACCGGATCATGCTGATCAGAAGGACTGAGGGGTGGATGGCACCCGAAATATAATTTCCAGTCCCCTCCGTGCAACTCCACAAACCAGGGCTGTAGCTACCATGGGGCGAGTGAGGCCCTCGCCTCAGGAGCAGCTGAGAGGGGGCACAGCCAGGGCTGACCTGGCTGCGCCCCCCCCCCCCCCCCTCCCCTGTCGCGGCGACGGCGGCG